CTCCCCGTGTAAATTCCATCTTCACTGTGGATTGATGCAGTGGAGCTATGTATTTCTTAAAGATGTTACATAAACATCTTGCTTTGAGACCAAAGCAAATATCATACTTTTCTTTCTTGAATCTTTACAACTTCAAAGTCTATTAAGAGGATGCACCTCATAAATTTCTTTCCACACTGCTTTTATTACACTTTCCAGAAATGCATATAAAGTAAAGGATTTCTTCTTATGCTGTGAAGGAAAGACCTGTGCAAATCTTCCCAGTCCCCTGAGGCAAAGCCTGTAAACCTAAGGGCTTGACAACTTTGCCCACAGCATTTTCAAAGAGCTCCATTGGAAAAAGATTTTCTTGGTACTCATTATCTGATCTGTCCAAAGTTCACCTTTCTCACTGGAATGGAAAAAAAAAAAGTGAGAGACAGATGAAAGTACGTTAGATGTTTTTGATTTTTTAAAAGTCTCAACAAGAGGCTTCTGAAAAGCCAGAGGGAAGATAAATCTACCTTAAAGATTGGAAGAGAACGCAATTCGGCAGGATTCTAAACCAAAATCTCCTGCTTAACCCTTGACTGTAGCTGAACGTTCCAGATTCCTTCAAAGAGAACAACCCCTGTGATGCTGCATGTACTAGGTATCTCAGAACATCTCAGGAATTTCAACTAAATGAAAATAGAGAAGTAGACTATCTCATCCCAGTAGGCACAACAAGATACCTTCAGAAGAAAGGGTTAAATGTCTAGTCAAGAAAAAATAGAAGGTGGTTACTTCTTCAATTCTCTGAAACCTGTTGCTTCTAGTGGAATGAAGCAAGATTATGCAATGTTGAGAACAAATGTTCTGCAATTGTCAGAAAATATGGGTACCTTTCCTCAGAAAGAGTAGCCATCTTGTCTAGATGCCACGCTAAAGTTCAGGGATGGAACAAAACCATATCATCATCTATTTGTCTGGGCACTTTTCATTATTTTCTCCTTTTATTTGATTTAAGAGAAGATTTGAACAGTACTCTGGCAGTAGAGAAAATGTAAACTATGCTTAGGTAACGCAAATATAATTTGAAATCAAGTGCAAAACTTGGCACGTACATACTGCTCGTTGAGGAATACATGCTAAATTAAGTGTTGCGAAGGAAAGCCAAAAAATAAAATCAGGAAGAGCCGAATGGAGAGTAGTGAAAAGAAGTTAGAGTGAAAAATGCAATTCACAGATTTTTTTTCAATCTATGCAAAACAATTTGGGAAAATGAGGATTCTGAATATATTCCAGAAGATGCTGGATACAGAGCTCTCAAACTGAACTCAGAGAACTATCCGTATCACCTAAAAAAACTCTCTACATCCATCTCCCTACAGAGTTCACTCTGGTTCACTGTTTCCTTTGGTGCTATTGTCTGCCATGGGGTTACCATCAGAGAACACTGGTAGGCAGTACTTCCCTCTAACATCTATTTTCAACCACCTAAATTGGTCTTCATAGGATTCCATTGTGCACACTGCAAAGAAACTTGTCTTGTTGCCAGCTAGAACTGTGAACTACATGTCTTTCTTTTCTTCACTGTTCTTTTTTTGGTTCACAAGCAACCTCCTACCAAAAGCAGAATCCGCAGAAGAGACTACATCCAAGAGATAATGCAATGAAAAAGTATGAAGAGAAGCCCAGGTGGCCACCTTGCAAATTTCCAATGTGGAAGCCTTCGACCTCTCCGCCCAAGAAGCAGCTATAGTCCTAGTGTAATGAGCTTTACAAACCCTGGGAGCCTCTTTACCCTTAACTACATACGCCTCCCTAATACAATCCCTTAACCATCTAGCTAAGGAACTCTTAGAAGCCATTTGACCCCTCTTAAGACCCCCTAAGAGTACAAACAATCTGTCAGAAGATATGAAATCTTTGATTCTTCTGTGATAAACCCTAAGTGTTCTTCTTACATCCAATTTATGCAGCCATTGCTCTTTGTCATCGCTGGGTTTAGGGAAAAATGAGGGCCAAGAAACCGTCTGGTTTAGATAAAACTCAGATGCCATCTTTGGGACAAAAAAAAAAATTTAAAAAGAGGAACCATCCAAAGAACTACTTTGTTTCTGATGGAACTTTACACATGTTCTATATATCAAGATTGAAGTACTATGGGATATGCCGAACAAAAATCAACTAAAACTGCCATTGAAACAGCTATACACATAAACGCAACACTTGACACAAGCACATGAAAAAACATTATTTTTGTTGCATCTCTGCATGAGTTACATAGATAAAAAGGCTCCCGTGAATACTAAAAGCAACCAAAAAAGAAAAGGAAGCAAGTGCAAGGTTCCAATCTATGTGATGCCTAGGGAAGCTCTAGCTCACTTGGATATTAGCCTACCTTTTATGAATTGGCTGGCTTCCCTTAATTTACCAGCAGCTCTACTTGCAGAGGACTGATACTTCAGACACACCTGGACTGCAGTGACTGCAGGGTAGTTGGGATTCACCCAACCTCGCTTCAAACCGGTGAGGCAGAGTACGGGTAACTGTCTCGCAACGGGGCTCATTTGCTCTGCTCCTTCGGCTGGTTCTGCAGCCTGAGCTGCATCGTGAACCCCATACTGGCACCTGAGTTAACTTAAAGCTGCTTTTGGTCTCTATATTCTGTTGAATTAAACAAGATTTCTGGTGAGAAGGCTTCTAAATAAGTTGAGAAGGTGGCCATTACGCTTTCTAGTCACGTATTATAATGTGTTCTGATGAAAATAAAGCAAGGATTGTACTAAATCCTTCTTATCAAAACTCAGCCTTCATCAGTGAAAAAAAATAAGATTATCAGCCCAATATAGGACATTAACAGAGAAAATCTTAAATCCCTTTTGGTACTTAACAGAACTTGGAACTACGGGGAACATAGCTCTCATTCTCCCATATCAAATCATCTTTCACTTCATCACTACAACTGAGATTTCTGACAATATGAAGTGAAAATAACACCAATAAACCCTTTTTCTAGCCAGACTTTTTTTTTTTTTAAGTTTCTCCAGCCATGACTTCTCTTTGCGTATTCTCCAGAAACTGATACTAAGTGAGCGAGGTTTTGTGAATAAAACCACCTGATCAGAACAGCAACACTAAAACCAAAGGTATGACTTCACTGACATCACTTGTAAAAGATTTACTTCCACTTGTGTTTCAGGGTAAAAGTAATTTTATATTTTCTTTAGAATGGGCCTTCTTCCCAGAAGACTGCCTCCTAACCTAAAACAAGATCAACTAATATTCCCCATTCAGCTTCCATTATGTAGATACCGTTTAAGAACCTAATTGCTATAGATATGATTACTCTCAAAGAATATTCCTCAAAGAAGAAGGCTTAACACACTTTTGAGGAACAGTTCTGAATGTAATTAAGCTTGGAGAAATGCCTGCAGGATGAAGTCCTAAATACACTTCCTGGAAAGCAAAATATTTCTTGTCAACATCGCAATCATTAAGTTCTCAGAATTATTGGTGATCACATATATTACACTGCAGTTAGTTAAACATGTCAAATAGATTCACCATTCAAGAGTTTTTTTCAATTTGTTTACATTTTACCACAGAATATGCAAGTAAAGAACCACCCTTAAAATTGCCCTTACTGAATGTGTATCCTGTCCTTCACATTACAGGTATGAGAAGTTCACTGTAACACCTCTTTGTAGGATCAAGGCCATAAAACGTAAAACATAGTGTGTAATAGCTTAACGTTCCTTGAGAAATAGTAAAACTGCGAGATTAAAGGAGGCAGAAATACATTGAAACCAACAGCAAAAATGGAACCTGAATGCAAATTTTATTTGAGCTTTGATGAATATTCTAAAAATGCATAGGTTAACCTGTATTTCTTTATTTCAGCGTCAGTATTTCAGAGGAAGAATCCATCAAGAAAATGCGTGCCTCAGAACTCTTCCTATTTCATCTTTTTTTTAACAATTTAGGAGACCACATTCCCAAAACACCTTCCTTCTCTGCCTGCAGCCTGACTACAGAGATATCAAATATTTGACTCCACCTCTCCTCTCTCCCTAAGCAGCCTGGCCTCATTTCTGGTCTGATCCTTTCCTGCAATATAATCAAAGCTCTTGAAACCACTTGCTCTCTGGTGACCTGGAATCTCTCTTCTGGCAGAAGTAGCAGAGCAGAAGAACATTTATGAGCATACTGTGACCTGGAAGGTGTTATTCACCTGAGTTTTCAGGATTTTGGGTTCTCCTCATATGACATAAATGCAGTTAGATTAAAAAAGAGAATGGGCTTGGAATCTAAAGCAAATGCAAACCTGAGGCTGGATCTTGAAGGAGTTTACATTCTGATGTAGAGCCTACTTCTACAAAACACCCACTGTAGCCAGTAGGATAAGAATGATGGTAAGCATAGAACATACCAGTAAGAGTTTGTGAGAACTATAGGTTGAAGCGTTTTTCTCTCCCAAAAGAGGCAGCTTTCAAGGACAAGTTCAGAAACAGACATAGTTTCAAAGAATTCAGACTCTATGTATGTTTTTGTCCCATATGAAATGCAGCATTTTATAGATTGTTCAATTGGAGATACTACATTACAGTGTTATAGTTTTTCATTATGATTCTCCATCAATAACTACCATACTTCACATCTTTAGAAATAGCTATCAGTTCTTTTCCAGAAGTCACTGTGCTCATAACTAAATCCACCTATCTCAGAAAGATTCTCAGTGAATACAGTAATAAACTTGTATAGAAAACAGACTGTTTTCTATTCAGAAAAATGACTGTTAGGTAATTAATTTTAAAAATCATATAAAATTATCTTTTTACACAAAGTAGAATCAATAAATAAGGAGTCACTGTGCTCATAACTAAATCCACCTATCTCAGAAAGATTCTCAGTGAATACAGTAATAAACTTGTATAGAAAACAGAATGACATGTTAGGTAATTAATTTTGAAAACCATATAAAATTATCTTTTTACACAAAGCAGAATCAATAAATAAGCAAAAGCATTCATTACCTTGAACATTCTTATTCTTCTCCGTAAGTGAAGGCACCAACAGAATTTCTGCAGAGAGCTCTTCAATTTTTTCTTCCATTGATAAAAAGAGTTTGATAAGTTGAGAAAGACATTTGAGTTGATACAATGTAAAGCAGAAGTTCCTGCCTTTTTTGTGGTATTCCTGGGAGGCTGTTCAAGAGAAAAAATACAATTATCTTTTACTGTTCCTTAAAAAATGAACCCGCAAAAGTGATTATGTAAGAAAGTACAATATATAAATTTGATTTTTGATATAGCATAATGTATCTTTTCTTCCTCCTAAAATATTGTTACACTAGTTCTTCCAAAATCTTTGGCATTTCTCCATTATCTGGGAAGTTACAACTGAATCCCAGGTTTTGTTATTCATTAACTAGGATTTTTTTCCCAAGCAACAGACTTATTCAGAAACCTTCTCACCTGTGTATTACAGAAAAACCACTGTATTGCAAAAACTGATTGAACAAAAGGAAAAAAACCACGTCATTACTATTTTTTAATGGTTTGGGACATCACATCACTACACTGTCACTCTGCAAGTCACCTTGTCTGTTTAACAATCTGCTAGCACAATACAGTTGATGAATATGACATTTGAGTGAAAAGAAACATCAATCTAACACTCCACAACTTTAAATATGTGGGGTTTGAAAACAAGTGAGACTGTCAGGGAACAAATATCAGCAAGTATCATACCTATAAGCATTCGGTATTTAAAAGAAGAAACTGAACATTTTATTTTGAAAGGTTAACACTTGTAATCATAACATATAATCATGTCACATCAACCAGGGAACTCTGATTTGAGCACAGTCAGACTATAAAAGACTGGGAGCTGTTTCCAATTCAGCATTAACCATTAAGTACTTTAATTTTATAACTTCTTTAAATGTAATGCAATTTGCACTTCTATGCAAATTGCGGTGAGCTGATACCCTGATCCTGAGCAGTTCTGTTGCTGATGTAACATCAGCAGAACAGTTTATGCAGAAAGTGTCAGAGTGAGAGCCAGGGTAGTTTGAAAGGGAAGCTCTGAAAGACAAAAACAAATAGAAATTGATTGAAATGTACTTTCATGTGTCAAATCTCTCTTACCTTTGCAATTTTGAAGTACTCAGTACCTCCCTTTTCCCTCAAAGTTCCTAGGTATTTTTTTTTAGGTATTCACAAATCACTTTTAAATAGACATAGATCTAAGTAGCAGAGCTGAGCTCTGAATATAAATTCCCTAATTTGCTATTCCAGTTCTGCAGCCTTAGAGACTGAACTGTGAGTTTTGCATCCACATCTGAATTTCCTCAAAGTTCCAAACAGATGTATTCATGCTAGTCCCTCGCATTTCTAAGAATGGCAAAAGAAAGCGTTACGCATAATTGCCTCCGCTAGTCCCCTTCCTATCTGAATAACAAGTAAATAATATCTGTATTACTGAATTTCCAATTCTAAGTCTTAAACCTCCAAAAAAAGACATTCTGCTATTCAGAGAATTTTTTTCCTTTACCTGAAAAACTAGAGAATATAAACAGAGTTTAACTGACACGAAATGACTGCCTGAGTCTGCAGACAGCCAGAAATAGCAGATCCAAGACATAAGAACCACAAGTCACATCATAAAAATCAATGGAACGTTAGTTCTGCCATCCTATAATTTGAAAAGCTTGTGATGCTCCTGCCCCTTTTGTTGAGGAACAAAGAAACTATCTAATTATTTGATTGCCCCAAGTGATATTGTTGTCATTAGACTGAAAGGAAGTGGACCTAGAAGACAATGGTATACCACAGTAATATTAATTTTAGAATGTACTGCCAAACTCAGAAAGAAGTAAAAAATTTTATTTTTACTTTCAATGACAATTCAAAGTTTATTTCAGCTGGAAGCTGAAGACATTGAGCTCAAAATCCCTCCTTTTTCATGCCATTAAGAAGCTGAGAGAACACTTTAATATGTGACAAAGCACAGTACACTATTGGCAAACAAACACACAATCATCGGAGCAAGAGCTTACTATTTAATACCACCTATGTTCTACAAAGATCTAGGAAAGCCCTAAAAAGATTATTAGGTTGTGAAGTTTATAGGCAAAATTCTAGATGCTTGAAGGTAGGGAAGAATACTGGGTTGATTTCATGGCTGACATGAAACTTGGATACAAAATTAAGAAACAAATGGAGGTAAGCATTGAGGAAATCCTGTCTTTGATAAAAAGGCACAAGTATATGCACAAACATAAGCAGCCAACCCTCATAGTCAAGGGGAAAGGAGGTAAGAAAACAATGGTTTAAGTGCACTCATGAAGGCCTGAAGCATGAAGTTGAATCCCTTGAATCAGTGAGATCCAGAACTCATCAGAAAGCCACAAACCATGGGCACTGAGAACATGGTGATCCAGTTCAACATAAAGTGACATGCAAAACTCTACGTCAAGATAAAAACATTAGAAAACAGAAAGAAAAGATGAGACCACCATGTAATAAATACTATTCTCAGAGAATTGCTGATTCTAGGGAAAGCAGGGAAAACAATCATCTTGCACCAAAGCTCTAAGGCAAAGAATCCTTGAGATGGGATGCATCACACAACCCAGACACTAAGACGTCTCTGGAAGGAGAAAACCAACCAACCAACCCACCAACCAACCAAATACCTATATGGCATTTATAGAGAGCACCATATATTATGGGTAATCCATTCTTAAATCTTCTTTTGTCCTTTGTTAGGCTTTGTCATGATAAAGTAAATGTGATATGACTTACATTTGACATGACAGTATACCAAAGATCCAGAGATGACAAAGATTCAAGCATCATTTACACCAGTTTTTTGCTACAACACTATGGATGGTTCAAACCATGTACCCTCACATTTGCAATCAGCACAAATCATGCTGATGTATCAGTGAACCTGGCCATCAACCAAAGTTGATTGCAATAATACAACAGGTATTTGAAAGGAGAAGTGCTGGTCCTGTGACAGCTCTCAATTGCTGACTTGCCCAGCTGGCATAAAGTTACATGTTATTCTGCGCCGATCACAGTTTTTGAGGCTCTTGACTCAAGGTGGTAATTTTTGACCTGAATTATCCATAACTATCACTGCAACACACTGTTCCATCTCCTTGTACTCATACAGAAACCACGGGCCTTGCTGAAGAGTGCCGTCTCTGCAGCTGCAGAAGCATAAGCTTCTTGTGGGTTTGGTTCACAAAACCATCTTACTGGATGGTCCAACTTGGAAGAAGTTGGCTCAAACCTCAGTTCTGCTTAGCTCAGCCACAGCAGTTGGAAAGAACTGGACAGGGGGAACCTCCAGAAGTGAATTTCCTTTCACACATGGTCTTTTCCATGTCTACAGTTTTATTATTATCCCAGAAATGACAGCTCATTTATTTAGTGCCTGACAACCATACAGTGTGCACACACCTGAGTATCCAAAGTTTGACTGACAGGTCTTATATGTCAGGTTTCAGAACGCTGATGGCACCACCCAGCTTTGAAGACCACTGACCAGGCTGCTTGAATGAACACATCACAGTCCATTTTTTAGCAATGTGTGGTGGTGTGCTCTCCCCGTTTTGCCCCTTCTTCTTCCTCCCCCTCAACCCCCTCGGCTCTTGCTCGGGCCGTGGCCCCCATGGCCATCACAACATCAGTTGTGATCAACTGAAGCTGGACTTTGGGGGATGGCTGGCAACACAGTCAAAACGCTGTCTGGAGTGGGGACATAGATATTTTGTTCCCATGAGAACATGACCATAGGTCAATTATCTCACTCTATAAATAGTGGACAGCCCCAGAGCCCTTGGAGCTTTCCTGGATGGCAGTGGCTGCAGGCCAGGATCTCCTCTTTGGTGAGGACACTCGCTTAAGGACCTACTCCTTGAGGTTGAGAGATTCCTGGCCGCAACAGATTCTCGGTTGAGTGACCAATAGCATGCTGAACTTTGAAATCTTAGCTAAGTGATATAGAGGGTTAATTGTGCATATATAATCCTTCAGACAAAAGCTGTTGACCAAGTCTGGGACTAGGACTGGATCCAGCTGCACCCAGACTCCTCTCTGAGAAGGAGTTTAGGAAGCCAGGGGGTCCTTTCTGAACCTCCTGGCTCTATGGGAGGGTCTCCCTGACAGCTGGTCTGACCCTGTCCTCTGGGCAGTAAATAATAGGGTGCACCTTGACATCGAGCCTCATAAAACACTATCGCATTTACTACTGGTTTTATCACATTTACTACTGATTTTGTTAAACCATTGCTTCACCTTGATAAGTATTTCACTGCTTCTCTCTTACGAGTGAAGTTAATCACTCCGTCCATAACACAATGAAAAAGCATTTCTCCTCAGACGTTGATCTGACTGGACAACCACAGGACAGAAACACTGAAGAACTGTGTAACAGCAAACAGATAAGCAGCCAAAGTGATGACATATAGCAAATGTATATTTTCTGTATTGCCTATACTTATGATTCCTGAACTGCTCTGGAGGCCAAATCTGCCAGCAGAAAAATCCTAAATCACTATGATGAGCTATCTTTAGGCATAACAAAAAAGATCCCAACCAAGCCCAGTGTCGGTGTCACCCACCAAAGGCTGGGTGCTCCCTGAGGGACAGAGAGTAGAGCACGGTAAGGTGGACTTCAGTACAGGTTCCTTGCCGACCAGGGGTCTGTCCTGCTGTATCTAAGCAAGGCAAGAAGGGCAGACCCAGAGATGACAGCCTGGTTTCCATCAAGGGTCCAGATCATCCAGCCAAGTCCACGGTGATGATGCGTATCTGAGTAAGGAAGTTAATTCAAAGCTTGAAGTCAGGATCAGGTCTGGTGGGGTCAACCTAGAGTCAGAGAGTTCAGTTCAGTGAACATTAGGCAGGACCATGGTGAAAAGGCTCAAGCCAAGGTTCAAGCTCAGCTCAGGAAGTCTGAACCAATGGGAGCCATGGCCAGTCTCAGACATGGCTCTGGTGGAGATGAGACATCAGAATGGCTATGATGTAGCTCAGGCACGGGCTGAAGACCCAGGCCTCAGCTGAAAGAGGTCTCTTGGGCAGCCTGTGGTGGAGGCCTCAGAAAAGGCTGGTCAAGGCCATTAAGGCCCATTAGTGCACACAGGCCTTTGTTGCATAGCCCTTAAGGAACTTCAGTTTCCAGACTA